GTTTATGTATATATGTACGTATATGTATATATATATATATTGTGTGTGTGTATTTGAGGAAAATGAAGTGTAGCTGGTTCGAGCGCTGTGCTATATGTGGAACTGGAATTAAAATTTATTCTTCGCTCATAGAAACGGTCATCTTTCTAATTAAGTTTTAAAGGTAATTTGAGAAACTATTTTGTTGTTCAAGGGAAAAAAATGTGTATAATGAAAATGACGCATAATATTAACTTGAAATATTTTGGTCATTAGCGTTGTCTTTGGTACAAGGCTTAAAGCGCCGAATTGAAAAAGCAAGTAATTTATATTGGTCCTAATTTAAAAATAACGGCCAATAAATTTAATGTATAAAGTTATAAGTGTAGTGCAATAAGCTATTTAATAATTGATCATTGCATCAATAATTAAGAAATCCTTAATGATCAGATATTTCACTCGCAAATGTCATCATCTAAAAAGCCATGTAACAGGTTAAAAATTAATTTAATTAAAAGTATTTCATCAGTTAACGAAATTTCCCTGAATATACTGCTGCATAGCAGATTTGAGCAGTCTTAACGTTAACAAAGAAGGAATAAAGTTACTATAAACAACACCTACAAATTATGTTAGCTTGAAAGAAAACATTATTCAAGAATTATACAGTACATATTTTTAGATTAATGCTGAGGTTATATTATCGGTGGTTTAGATGTTGCCCGGGAAATTTACTGTACCTTTGCTGTAATTCTTTAAACAAATACTTTGATATTTTTGAAAATCAACTTTGTGGTTTTTCAAGAAACGACTACTGTGAATTTTAAATTCAAACCAAGCTTTGCGGCATCCTATGAATGAATATTTCTGAGAAAACTCGCAAGAAACTTCTAAATTCTTAGAACACCACCTGCAATAGAGATAGAAAGCAGTTGAATTATTGAAAAACCATTAAAAAAAAAGATAGTTGGCATAACTTTCTCTGTTTTGAACTTTAATCGATATCTTTATGTTATACAGCGTGTATTCCATGTCTTAAGTTTGGGCGTTGTTACTTAAAATAAAAAAGTATTATACAATACAAATTCCGAATATTTAGATGTGTATCATCGATATTTTACGCTTCACGCTCAGCTACAGATGACCGTTTGATCGATTAGTACATAAATCAATCAAGCATCAAGTCTAATTACCTAAGTTTTCTAAATATCGATTTTCGAAACACCGAAGAGGCTACAAAGGCAAGATAGCATTTACATAATGAAGTAAACACCATCCATATTTAATACTGCCAGTCAAGTGTACAGTAAGCTGTTCTTTTGAACAGTGAAATAGTCTTATTAGAAATACAGAGAAGCGACCAGCTGGTTGGCTTTACTTCATCAACATGTGTCACAGGAAACTGACCAATATTTAGAATATAACTAAACAACATTTTAAAAACAGAGCTCCGTGTGGTTTTGACATTTGCTAAGTGGCGATGGCAAAGCACGTGTTTGTTTACGTGAAATCTGATTCAAGTGAGGACATGCAATAACAGAATAATGAAGCAACTCAATAATGAAAATATCTAAAGATTAGTTTAGATTAGGTCCACGCATCTCTTTTCCATCAATAGCTGGGGATTTTTCATTGCTAATTGCCAAAAGGCTTTACCCACTCGCGAGAGTACATACAGGGAAGACAAAGGTTAATATTCCTAACAAAGCCCAAATTAAATGCCAGATAGTGGCATATTACGGTTTTTAAGCTGAAATAAATCTCGTTGATATATTTAATAATAACATTAGTTGCAGCATGCAATCGCTACTAGAAGCATAGTGAAGAGAAGCTCTGGGAAATAGTACTAGAATCCTGTACATGACATCTTATCATACTGGTGATTTTATAAGCAAAACATGTGCACATAAACCATAAAGTCCCATAAGCATTATATGACGTTGATGTCTCTTTAGAATTCTTGGTTTTAGCAACAGTATTTAAATATGGTACAAAGAGAACGATTTGTATATTCCTTACCCTTAACAAGATTGTGAAAGAAAATTTGGGCTTGTCATTATGAAGAAAGAAGCCCAAATCTATTACGTGATTTCTTCTCTTTAAAACAAAAGTTTCGGATATTTTTTTAAGGAAATAGTTTGATTAATTTGTTTTTGTTAAAATCGATCGATACTTCTCTAATATAATAAATTTTTTGTAAGAATGGTGGGTAAACATATACGATCATGTATCTGATCATTACACATATTGGCACTAACGTCAGATATGCGGAATTAAACACGACTTTCATGATATGTATGTTTCAAAAAATAAAATAAAAAACATTACATACATTTTATGAAATGTACTTACTATCTTTTTTTTTAATATGAGATATGTAAACCGACACAAAGACATCAGATTTATAGCCTAGTTTATACATCTTTAAAAATGTTTAAGAAATTATTTACATTGCCTAAGCTGGAGAAGCATGACACTTTAATCAGGTTGAGATATTACATCACATTAAGTTTAATAACGATTTTCATCAGATTACATCATAGTAAGTCTTTATTTAGAATTTTTGCGTAAAGCTACACAAAGTTTCTCTACGCATAACTAGCCACCCCTAATTTTGAAATGAGAGTAGGCAGCTAGTCTAGAACACACACCGCCATTTATTGTCTGACCGATTTTAATCGTCATTCTTATAGCACATCCACGGCTCCAAAGAACGTTGCAACTTTTTGACAGTGGGATGCGAACTATGAACCATCGGATTCACAGTCCAGGCAGGCTAACTTAAGGCCATTTAGTAAGTCTAATAAAGACTTTTATATCATTGGCAGCTAGCCTAAAGTGGATATACTCTAAAACAAACAACTTTTCAAGTATAATTTTTCTTTTTTGATATACTGACGTTGAGTACGTTATATTAAAGTGATTTTGGAGCCTCACTTCGTTGTTACAGCCATGTTGCCGACTCTGGTCGTACTCTATCTGACGACCGTGCATTTTTGAAATGGCCCTGCAGCGTCGTTTCCGTTTTCAAAGGCTCCACCGTGAGGCTGCCAGGTCCAAAACACATTAGTCATGTCTACTTGTTTTCCACAAACCGTCTAGAGTACAAGGACGATAGTTTCCAACTATTGTTTCTGCAGTCCAATAACTAAAAAAATCCATGCACTGCGTTAGGCGACTTAACTGGTAAAATTTAATACGTTGTAGTATGAAAATATATTCTATTCTTTAGCTGCTTGGGGCATGGGACTGTTGAGCGGGAAGTATGACTGTAAGTCATATCTTGTTGAGTCGATACCCTGTTAGCCTCGATTCCAGATGGAGGTCCTTCTTGATTATGTTGTGTAATGTTGCCTGTGGCAAGTTGACGACTTTTACCGCTGATCTTTATGTTCGTGGATTCTGACCTATTATAAGACACTTTGCTTACCAATACTGGCTGGAAAACAACTTGTTGCAGATTTGTTTCAGGATGGGGCTGGTGCTTCAAGTTAATCCACATTCCTTTGTTTTCCAATACCATTAAGTACAAAGTATATCTCCATCTTGTAATCTCTAAGTCGTCTACCTGAACACGTCATTGTGATTTTATGTCGGAAAGGGCTGTTATATACCATTCTCAAAAGAGATAAATTTTCTGTGACATTACACTGCCTATAAAATGTTAAACAATGTCAAAATTTAGGTTTGATACATCCCGGTTCACCAAGACCTTACACAACAAAGGAAGCTCGTGCATCTTGAAAGGGTCGCAACATTGGTGACATGAGAGCTTTAGACATTTCACACATTTCAGTATTCATATCAAGATCCATTGTGGGTAAGGTGCTAGAAAAATGGAAAACCTGTGGAGTATTGAACTGGTCACTGAACGTTAATCATTATTCTGATAATTTAGATTTTGGACATGAAACCTTACATCTGGTGTTAAATCCATTATCCAGGACTTTCAGAAGAGTAAATAATAAAGATCAGTATAACCACTGTGAACAGGGATCTCCATCCTGCTCGACTTCACGTGTACCAGAATCTAGTCCAGAAGTTGCTCATTACAGCAGCTAATGCATGGCACTTTTAGTGTTGGAATTAGTGATGAGTAATGAAAAACCATCATTGTGGAGCTATGTGTGAATCGTTTGCTTTGGATGTTTGGATTTGACTTCAATCTAGCAAATACTTTGACTACCACTGTGTCACCCAAAACGTGCAAAATAGCGGGACTATTATCGCGATATGGGTCTGTTCTAGTTGGTTTGTACTTGATTACATGAATGACTCGTCATATTGTGGCATAGTATGGACAGTGTCACATTGCATTAATTAAATTCTATGGGGAAGGTGCATACCTATTTTTTGGGTGATAACGCCATACCACACACCTGGTTTGTAACAAATAACATTTATAATCTATTTTGCCCGACCTATAGTTCCTTCTTGATTCCAATTGAACCATTCTGAGACATGGAACACACTTTTGGGGGACAGGTGGATCGACCTCAAAATCTATTTACAGTTAGCTTTGCTTTAAAAGACAAATGGAGGTCTGTCTATTCCATCAGATGGGTAGCAATAGCTGTTGGTCGATTTTAGTAACAGAATACAAGCTGTGAATAACAAATAATCTGTGTCCTGTTAAAATTGTACATCAATGATGAAATACAGTGCCTTGCAAAAGTCTTTACCCCCCTACGCTGGAAATCAATTTTAGTTATTTTCTTGTGAAAGACGTAATTTAAATGGCCAAAAATATTTATCATATTAATCTCAGACCAGTTTCTAAAGATTACAAAGAACAAAAGGTGCATTGTTACTCACTTTAGTGATACAACACATGTTGTAAAAGTCTTCACCCCCTAACATGATTATTCAGTTAATATTTGGTTGAATCTTCTTTGGCAACAATGACAGCTGAAAGTCGTTTTGGATAACCTTCCACAAGCTTTACACAGTATGCTGGAGATATGTTTGCAAACTCCTGCTTGCAGATATCCTCCAGTTCTTGTAAGTTGGAAGGATGTCTTCGATGCACAGCAATTTTCAAATCTCTTACAGATTTTGGAGTGGATTTAGGTCTGGATTTTGGCTTGGCCAGGCAAGGACTTTGGGTTCGGATCCCCGTCACAACAAACATGCTCGCTCTTTCAGCCGTGGGGGCGTTATAATGTGACGGTCAATACCACTATTCGTTGGTTAAAGAGTAGCCCAAGAGTTGGCGGTGGGTGGTGATGACTAGCTGCCTTCCCTCTAGTCTTATACTGCTAAATTAGGGACGGCTAGCGCAAATAGCCCTCGTGTAGCTTTGCGCGAAATTCATAAACAAACAAACTTTCATATTTTTGGTCTCGCGTTACCTATTGGCTAAGGTCTAAGGTTCGATCTCGCAGTACGCTAGTAAACACGAGTTTTAGTTGTGGATGCGTTATAAAAGTGATAGTCAATCAATTTGGGAAATAATTGCCGTGTATACGGAGGGAATTGCTGATTAAATTAGGGATGGCAACTCCCGAATATTAGGTGTCTCTGATCTGGAAGTTTAGCTCAGGTGTCGTCCACATAGAAAAATGATAGGTGTCCTTAAGTTTGTTCATTGCTAATTTTTAATAGTTTTGAAAGTACCAAATAATCAAATCCACATCTCACTGTCATAGTTATATATAATGATGATTTATTAAAACATTCTATACTAATTAAAATGTGGAAATATTGGACGTTAAAGTCGGTAAGATATAAAATGACTACCTTATGACGTCTTCTGAATACAATTTTTAAATTTTTTCTACTGATATTTTATCTGTTTTATTAAATCGGTATGTGAATACGTAGAAACAAATATTTTTAACAGAACAAGTTAATTTTCAGTTTTTGTTACTAAGCACAAAGCTACACAATGGGCTATCTGTGCTTTGCCTACCGTGGGTACCAAAATGCTAAGAGGAAGGGGAACATTGTACATGTGTAAATTACTTAATTAATGGTTTGACGACTGGATTCATTTTTATATTCACCATCTCCAATTTAACCGTTTGAAGAAAGCATTATTAAATACTTCAAAAATCATTTAATGAATGGCATAAATTGCTTTGACTTTAACAACAACAACAAAAGGCAAAATGAATGTCAAGTATAAAATGACTTTAACAACAACAACAAAAGGCAATATGAAAGTCAAGTATAAAAATCGAGAAAGAAAGTCTGTGAAGGTTTGTTTATTGTTAAGCGTAAAGCTACACAATGGGCTATAACTGCTGTGCCAACCACGAGTATCGAAACCCGGTTTATACCGATGTGAGCCCTAAGACTTACCGTTTAGCCACTGTCAGGCTAATAGTCACATGAAAAATGTAAGACTAAAATAAATTGAGAAGAGCAGAGGCATGTATATGTACATAGATATAATGTTGTCATCGATTTTGTAAAATTCTAACAAGTTGAGAGTTGTAAGTTCTGAAACGTAGTAATCGAACCAGCATAAAGTATGGTGTAGAATTTTAAAAGATGCGTTTCCGTGCACTTGGGAAAAAAATAAACATCATATATACACATATATATATATATTAAAAATATACAATATTTGGAGCGAAACGGGAATAGTGTCGTGTTTTTTAGGCCCTATAGAATTTGTTTTATTTAACCAGCGCCCCACAGTGGCACAGCGGTATGTCTGCGGACTTACAACTCTAGAAACAGGGTTTCGATACCAGTGGTGGGCAGAGCACAGATAGCCCATTGTGTAGCATTGTGCTTAACTTCAAACAAACAAACAAACAAACAAACAAACAAACTGTAGAACGTCTAAGCTGGTTAAATTGTTTGTTTGTTTGAACAGGCTATCTATGCTGTGCTCATCACGGGTGTCGAAGCCCGGTTTCTAGCGTTGTAAGTCTACAGGCATACCGCTATGTCACTGTGGGGCACGTTCTACAGAAAACATTGAGTTTTTAGTATGCATACAAACTGCATTTCTGAAAGAATGTTTGACTGCCGTTGTCCAGACGAGTTGATAAGTTATGATACAGAAAGAAAGCCTTATAGATAGTGACTTATGTTGTACAAAAGATAAACCCGTGACGTCGTTCTTATACGCCTTGACTTAAAATTCTCAATAGACTAAGTAAGAGCAAGTGGTGGAAAACATTTGTGGGGTTATACTTTATTTGTTATGGAAAAGTATTCACTTAAGCAACAGAAAATAGATATATTTTATGTAGGTCCCTAAATATGCAATTAGATCCTTATGAAAATAACATCGAAATATGTAAATATAAAGAGGGCGCCTCTTAAAACACGTTTATAAAAATAAAGTAAAATATACTGTTATAAAGGAAAGGAAATTTAAAAAAGTTTCGTTTAAAGTAGATATTTGGGTAAAATTCACAGAAATAATCAGTTCCTCTACTTTAGTAATAGTATTTTGTTACTGATGTAAATACTTATCTGGTAAGCCTAGATTTAAAGTGAATTATAAAAAAAAAATTAAAAGTTGACACTATTTTGTTAAAAGAAGATAGGTACAAGTTAATATTCTTAACTTGTACTTTTGAAACAGTACTTTTTTGTCTGGTTTCTTAACCGAAGCAAAGAAAATAATTTGGAATGATGTATGAAATATTTTTAAAAGATCTATGGAATCTTTGCATTTTTAAATAACCAATAAATATCGCGGGATAGTTATATAAAAACCAAGACCTTGACAAACATAGGAAGCAGGAGACTCTCCAGGATGTACCCTAGCAGTAACAAAAACCAATTTCCGCTGGCTTCGGGCTTCCGCTTCCGGTACCTCTTCTTTAATGGTGACAAATTCCAAGCGCCTTTCTTGCTGCAATATATATATATATATATATATTGATATAACATGTTTCTTAATTTGCTAGTTTAAAGTAAACGATTAAAAATTGAAAAGAGGAGTGGCTAAACAAGATTTCCATTAACTTCCTGAAAATTTACACTGTATTGGAAATACGATCGTACAAATACAGTTATTATTTTTCTAAGATTAGTAATGAATTGTAAGAGAAGAAATTTGCAAAGAGAACTCTAGAAAAATATTAATGTTCTTGAAAAAAAAACTGTGGCTTTCAACACGTCTGCGAGCTACAATTTAAACAACGAATAATTGTTTTTTTTTATCACCTATCAAATCAAACCTGAATTTATTAGAGTAATCTCCCGTGTGTATTCCTACTTGTATGTTGTTTTACTTACATATATATGTGTGTGTGTATGTGTGTGTACTCAACAAACTTTTAAAACTCGAAATGATTGAAGAATTAAAGACACTAAAACTGATTATTCGAAAGGTGTTTTGTAAAAGATTGGACCACCACTTAGGAAATTTTTATAGAGTTTCCAAATAGTGGCAACCAAGCCTGAAATATTTCAAAGGTAGAGACATCTACTGGTGAACCATGAAGAGTCAGTGAATAAATTGTCCTTTAAGTGATGTTTTGAAAATCAACCATCTTTCATGACCCTATATATTACACGTTTTTTTAAACATGCGTATTGCGGTTACTGGTGATCTATGTGCACATTTTTAGTATGAATGGTATTTGTAGCATCTCAGTTATTAGGTTTTGTGCTGAAGTCTCGAAATGTATTCAGGTGAACTTTGACAATAATTAGAAAATGGAGCGGCTTTTATTTATTTATTACAACACATAATAATCAAGTGTAGCTACAGCATGTTAACATCTGAAATACAGAGAAGTGGAAAATATTATTACATACTACTATGTTATCAACGTTTCGAAGTGTAGCCACAGCATGTTAACATCTGAAATACAGAGAAGTGGAAAATATTATTATATACTACTATGTTATCAACGTTTCAAGTGTAGCTACAGCATGTTAACATCTGAAATACAGAGAAGTGGAAAATATTATCATATACTACTATCTTATCAACGTTTCGGATATATTTTATCTTATAAATTCACACAGACTCACGCTTGCATGCAAATATACATTATCCAAAAATACTGTAAAGGCTATTGAAGTTTACTAGTATTTACCTGCAGTCCAGATAACTCCAGTTTGACAAAGATGAAAAAATATTTATTACCATATGGAGTTTCTCAAATTGTTATTTTGTTGATAGTTTTAAAAAACTGATGACTAAGCCGAATAGGACCCCCATCCCCCCTAGATACAAGCTTAACAGTATTTATCTGTAGTACTAATAATGGTTGGAGACGGCTTGAATGAGTAATGAAGAAAAATTTTAATATAAGTTTAACATAACAGCAAATGTTACAACGTTTCGACAAAGTTTTGTCATCATCAGGTCATTCACAAATCTGTAAATCTGACTAAAAATAACGTATCTTAAAGCCAGTTTTCCATAGTTGATTTTGTATATTGAATTCCTGAATATTTGTTTCTTTTAGAAAAAGATTCTACTGGCTTAGAATTTTAAAACACTAATACCAATTTTTATTTTTATTTATTCGCGATTATATGAAAAACAAAAAAAACATTCATTACAGGAAAACCCACAAGATTAGTATTTTAGAGCTTTCTATTTTGATGCATGCTTTACCAGTACATTTGACTTATCTTTTACTCTTTGTTTCTTTTATATATTCTCTATAGGCCTATAAACAGCTTGTAATAAAACCCTGTTATAACATATATTAATGTTAAATCCATTATATAACCACTTTTAAAAAAATCAGAGGAACTCAAGTACAAATGAAAAATCAGAAAAAATTTCTTCATAAGAACTTTCGGCTGTAAACGTTACATGCAGAATAATTTTAAAATATTAAAGACATACTGTTAATAGTAACTGAGATGGCCTAGAATTTTCAGTTAACATAGCTGCAAGAAACAGGATAAATACATTTTTGTAAATTATTTCAAACGTGTTAGAAAATTAACCCTTTTTCGAGGCTGTGCTTTAATTGCTCATCAACATGCAGAACTTTTGCTTGTTAGCTAATTTGGCTACGTTCAAACAAAATAAAATGTGAGTTAATTACAATTTTTTTTGTTCGTCAAATTTTTAATGAGAGATTTTTTTGCACTTAAACATTAATTGGCAATTCTTCAATTTTGCATTGTTAAACTTGAACATCACTCATTATAAGAAGGAATTTGGAAAACCTTATTCTGTGAACACTTTCACTAGCGAGCTAGTTCCGAAGCAAATTTTTGATACATTTAAAAAAAACCTTACTTTATTTAATCATGACGTTTGGAGTAACTGCTCTTCGTCAAGTTTGATATGTTTCGTAATTCTTTGAAACACACTTTGCTTATCACGGCTGGGGGTATGACTTGTCACAAGTTTCTTTCTGAATGGCCCTGGGGTCCCAAGTTAATCCATGGTATTTTTTCTAATTCCATTAGGAACATGGGATATCTCTATCTTGCAAATTCTAAATTTCCAATCTCAACACATTTTTATGATCTGAGTGTATGAATGTTTTGCTTTGGAAATGGGTGTTACATACTCTCCCACAAAGCGATCAATTTTTTGTGGCACCATACAATCTGTGCAATGCCAAATAATAAAAAAAATGTAGTTCTGACACATTCTGTTCCATCGCAACAATAAAGGTTATAGTTTTTCACGTGAGCTGCTGGTTTGCGTATTCAAAATTATTTTAATATAGCGTACTCAACCCTCTGTATTTTACATCGTTCAGATGTGAGGTTTACATAAATATTCAAACATTATAGCAATTAATCATTCAATGTATTTATCAAAATTGAGAACAATAGTGGTGAGTAATTTCTGATTTCTGGCGATGATTTAGACACGGTTTGCCTTGATTTGACTGCTAATTTCCAGTTACTTTTTGAAGAACAATAGTTGTCTCTCATGAACCCTTTAATAATTTTTGTCTCAAAATGTTAAGTCTGTCCGTGAACCACCTTTTTTAAAACCATAAATAAAAAGTATTATGTTACTTTTTAGTGTAAAACTACCCGCGATAAGTGTACCGCGAGAATCAAACCCATAATCTCAGTACCATAAGCCTTAAAGCCTATACTTGGGCCAATTATGGACTATTCGTAAAGCCATAGGTCTAAAATTGAAACACATGTACCATCACTTGTAAATCATTGGTAATTTTTAATTAGTGCTTACTTTACTTTGCGATGTATAAATCATACGAGGAAGGGGATACACCCCTCAGTAGCACAGTGGTATTCTGCGGACTTACAACGGTATAAACCGGGTTTTGATACCCGTAGTGGGCTAACAACAAACAAACGAACTGGATATACCTTGCCAAACAAGTATTTGTAATAAATATTATTTGATCTTCTCTTAAAAATTCCTCTCTACTAAAATAACAATGTTGTAATTTTTTTCTAGGATGTTCTGTTATTTTTCTATCAGTGGCATTGTCAAACGTAATGTAATAAATACCACAGAAGCAGTATGGGATCTAGTTCAGAATAGTTAGTTTGTTATTTCATATATAGGGGTCAGAGGCTGGAGATACTGGACAGTGGCTTGAGGCTTCGCGTTGCACGCTACTTAGAAACTGGATGTATAATCTGACATAAAACAGATAGATAGGCTAATGGTGGTTTGATAACATTTATCTCAAAGAAGAAAAGTGCGCCATAATACTAATGTTGCATGAACTGGAAAACAAACGTTCTTCCTAATGGATTAAAACAAAGTTATCAGATTTGTGGCATTTGGAAAAGGTAAATTGTTAAATATTTATTATTTTTTTAACACAATGGGAGTTTTCAATTTTTGTCAGACTGAAAAAAAAAACGTTTCCCATTTGAACAAAATAATATTACCGTATTCCTTAATTCAAGCGCAAAATGAACTTTCTGTTCTCTAAAGTAAAACTGGAAATAGTCGATAGTGCTATTTACATCTCAATCGATCGAATGAAAAAAAAAGCCAACACCACCAGTTGTTGTGTAAAGTAAACTGGATGGTTCGGCGAGACTAGATTCAATAACACAAGATGTATTTTCTATTAACGTGAACCATCAACTGCGTAGGCGCTGTGTTGGAAATGTTTATGTATATTAAACTTGCATGGGGCGCTGGAGTAGATTCTATGGTCGATAAATAATTGAAGTAAGCAAAATGAGGACTACACTTTCAGACTGAACAGAAAAATACACATATATTTTTACTTATCATCAGGGGATACTGAAATTCGTTAATGAACACTAGTACAAGAATGAATTACTTAATTGAATCAGTGTATATTCTAAACAGAATAGCAGTAATGCAAGACTGATAAACCTGTCCAAAATCATGTTAGAGACCATTATCCATTAGGATAGAAAATAATATTTTCCATTTTCGTTCTTTGTAGTATTTTTAAACTCCTTATGTACGTTACATGCTTTGGTCATCTCTTTGCGATTGCTAAACTTCACGGTCTATATGATATTCACTTACTTTACTGAAAAAAATCTAACATTCATCAACCTCTTGTGAACTATATTAATCGTAGACCAAACATGAAAGGTAGAAAATAATATATTTTGTATCAGGCAGTGTTTTTAGTCTTTAAAAATGATAAATAGTATAATTTATTGAAGATAACATAAAAATTATGAAAGATATTAAAGAACATAAAAAAACTACCTGAATTTATTGATCTGACACACTTACACTGAGTGGTCACAAGTAAATAGGCACCTAATTTTTCGTCATTTAACTGATTTATGCTAACTAATTTGTGTTTACAGAGCACT